TAGATAGCATACATACACAAAATTGGGCAGGGGATAGTAAGAGGGTGCAGATAGGCGAGGGGATCTAAATATGATAAAAAATATATTGTATGAAAGGCACAAAAATTCAATAAAAAGTCAAAGAAACAGAAAAAAGACTGCAGACTGGGCTCGGGTCTCTGACTAGGGGATCTAAGTGCTTAGCTCTGCACTGGCAACATGACCCCATGCTGGTCTGAGGCTGTGGCTTTGAGGTGACAGCTTGCTTACCACTCCCTCTTCCAAAGGAGACCAGACTGGAGGAGCAGGAGGAAGGCGTGGCCATGGTTGCTGGGAGTCATGAAGTGTCCCAGCTGCTGTGGAAAGCAGGCAGGCAGGTCTTCAAAAGGTGAAAGACAGCCAGCACATGAGCTAGCAATTCCACTCCTGTGTACACCCAGGAAAAACAAAAAGCCAAGTCACACTCACACAGCACCGTGAAGGCTTGTAACAGCATCATCCACAGGAGCCTGAAGTGGACACCACCCAGATATCTGCCCACAAAGGGACAAAATATGGTCCATCCCTTCAAAAGAGTATTATTCAGCCATGAAAAGGAATGAAGTGGTAACCAATGCTACAATGTGCATGAGACTCAGTGAGCAAAATCAGGAGGGGCATAGCACTGATGAGAAGGGCTTTGGGGGGCCAGTAGGGGGTACCTTGCTATATGTACCTTTGAAAAGGTGCAAGCAGGTAGCCGAAGGGATAGGAGCTGTGCCAGAGAGAGAGAGAGAGAGAGAGAGAGAGAGAGAGAGAGAGAGCGCCTGAAGGCCTGTGAACCAGTTCCAAGCCTTTTGATATCTGTAATTTGTGTCTGCAGTCCAGCTGTGCAGCTGCAGTGGGTGTGTAGCCCAGGACAAGGCCACCTCTGAGCCCTACTGTCCTCAACTGCAAATTAAGTGTCCCCTGGAGGCTTTGACTGCCCTGACCTAGAAGGGGAAGAGGTGGACCCTGGCAGGCCACATGCCCTCTGTGTACAGTGGTCCCAGCTCTTCTTCCAGGGTTGACTGGACTCCAGCTGAGGTCTGTGTCCCCCGCAGGTGGAGTTCACACCACAGACACTGCTGCAGAGGCCACCTAATGGCTGGTTCCGGCTCCTACCCTTTCCCAGAGCTGAGGAGGATTCTAGGTAAATGTGGGTGCAGAGGGAGGGACCAGCCTGATTCTGCGGGGTGGGGCATGGGGAACGGGGCATGGGGTGGGGACTTTGGCTTGTGGGCAGGTCATTGTGGGGGGCTGGTACCAGCCCTCCCTGTCCCCCTGGGACTTTGTCACCCAACCCAGGGGCTTCTGTGGGTCCACACGGTGCTCCTCAGCCCAGCCACCTGCTCATAGTAAACAACTGGTTCACTTGATGTATGTCAGCACATTGAGTCCCCTCATGCCTACCAACCTGTCTACACTGCATTCTTTATTTTATTGGAGATTGAACCCAGGACCTTGCCCATGCTAGACAAGCGCTCTGCCACTGAGCCACACCTGTTGCCCTCTTTTTCCTCCTTACTCTGTAAGGTCTCACTCTGTAGCCCAGGCTGTCCCTGAACTTGCAATCCTCCTCAGTCTCCTGAGTACCTGGAATAGTGGGCTTGGACCACCCACCCCCACACACTGTCTACGCTCACTCACGTACTTGGTCACACTGGCCTGTCTCCACCAGCCATTTCCTTGTTATCTCTGTTAATGTCAGTTCACACCTATCCACACAAGATCACATTGCATGCCCAATGACACCATTCAGGCATGCTCACATGTGTTCATACCACAGATACTTGATTACACAGCTCACAGCATGCCCATGAGTTTTCATACCACTCATGTCTGTGTGCACGCCTTCACATCATACATTCCCACACCTGACCACCCTGTTCACACCTGCTACTCTGTCCTGTGTGTGTCTACTCACCCTGGCCAAGTCTATCTGTCCTGAGTGTCTGTGCATGCTGGCCACATCTCTGTCTGTCCCGGGTGTCTCTGCATTCTGGCCATGTCTCTGTCCTGTGTATCTGCTCTCCCTGGCTATGTCTGTCTGTCCTGTGTGTCTGTGCACCCTGGTCACGTCCCTCCTGTCCTGTGTGTGTACTGGGCACATCTCCATTTTGGCACTTCCACACACTGCCTGTGCCCACCTTTCCTCTTGTCATCTCTGGTCCTCTGGTCCCTTCTGCCTCTCGGGGACAGCCCTCCTGTACTTGTCACTCATGGTCTGCTCCATCCAGGGGGAGCCTGGGAGCCCTACGGCTGAAGGTGCGCCTCACTGAGGATCGAGTCCTGCCCTCCAGGTACTACCAGCCTCTCACGGAGCTGCTCCTGGAGTCGGTGCAGACATCAGTAGAGGTGAGTGTGCCAGGCAGGTGGCTTCTCCTGTCTCAGGGAGCCCCAGCCTGCTCTTCTACCTTGGAGCCTCGGGTCACTTGTTGGCTCTGCTGTCCCCATCCAGGAGGACACCAGCAGCCCCCTGGCTGTGTTGGAGGAGCTGACCTCTGGGGACTGCCGCCAGGACCTGGCCACTAAGTTGGTGAAGCTCTTTCTGGGCCATGGCCTGGCTGTGCCTTTTCTAGACTACCTCACAAGGCGCGAAGTGGCTCGGACCAGTGAGTAGTCTGCAGGGCCCCTGGAATCACTCCCCAAGGAGTCTGCAGAGGGTCCCTGGGGGAGAAGTAGGGTGTCTTAGGATGTCCTACATGTAGAGTCCCCATGCTGTGCACTCAGAGGGCACGGTTCCAGCCCATTGGAGCTGTGTGACCAAGGCAGTTTGTTAAACCACTCTGAGCCTCCATACTGTGAATTGAATTGACACTTAGGGTTCTCTCTGATTCTTGAGGCTGAAAGAGTCCTATCCCACTGGGTGAGTGGGATGGGCTGGGTCCAGCCTCCTCCACCCCAGCAAACACATACTCCACCCCGCCCCCCAGATGACCCCAACACCCTCTTCCGTTCCAACTCGCTGGCATCGAAGTCTGTGGAGCAGTTCATGAAGGTGGGTAGGGAAGCCTTGGCAGGCTGGGGTGGGGCAGTTTCCTCCCTCTGCTTACCTGGGCCCCAGAGCTGGGTCTCCAGTGGCACTAGGTGGCCCAACTGGGTTCTGGCGGTTGGTGCCTGGCTTCAACCTGGGCGTTACCCTTGGATATAGCTAGCCTGGTTTTCAACTCTCCCTGCCTAACCCCCGCCCCAGCCCAGGGCGCATCCTGCCGCCCTCAGCTGCCCTGTGTGGCTCCTGCCCCCCAGCTCGTGGGCATGCGCTACCTGCATGAGGTCCTGAGGCCGGTGATCAGCCGTGTCTTTGAGGAGAGGAAATATATGGAGTTGGACCCCTGCAAGATGGACCTGGGCCGCAGCCGGTGAGTGAGGCGGGGTGGCTTGGTCCCCTTGTCCTTGACTGGTCTGTGTTGGCTGCCACCTGCCCCAGGCCTCCATGTGTTGTAGCCCCTTAGGCTGTTTTGGGCAGACAGGTCTCAGAGTTCAAATCAAGGCTCCACTTCTCCCACTTCTCTGTGACTTGGTCTGACACCTGGGGTGCCATGGACATTAAAGGGATTGCGCAAGAGGAGGCCAGTATAGAGTGGTGCTAGGCAATGATGAAGGTCCAGATAGAGGCCACCTGAAAAACGGGATCCTGGAACTTTCTGGAAGATCAGGAGGAAGCTAGGCTGTGACTAGGAGTTACTTCACACCTCCATAGACTCTCTAGTTTCTTTCCAGAACCTTCTCCCCTCCAACCAGAGGGCTGATTTCCATGGGTCCCTTGGAGCTAGATGAAGGCAATCTGTCAGGATAATAACAAGAGTCCCCATATCTCTTGACTATCTCAGATGCAGTCAGCAGCCTCCTCACAGAGACTTTGAGGGGGAGGCCACCTGCCCAAGGTTACACAACCGGAAGGTTGCAAAATAGGAATTTGAACTCAGGCCCTAAGCAGAGCCCTCTGTGAGTCTCCCAGGGGACTCTTGGAGACTGTGGGAAACTTGGTGGCACCAGAGTCAATGGCACTTGGGGATCTGGGCAGAGCACAGTGACAGGCAGACCCTGGAGTTGATGGTCCTGGGTTCTAATCTTAGCTCTGCTTCCTTCTTACACAGTTACCTTGATAGGCCTCAGTTTCTGTGTCTGTTAGATGGGAACAGACACCTTCACTGCAAGGTGCCATTAGGATTGCACCAGGCAATGCCAGGGGCCGTTAGTGTGGGGTTGAGAGCCTCTGGTTGGGCTTCTGCTGGCTTCTCAGTCTACACATGGTCAAGATAGACCCTCAGGCTGTGGAGGAAGAACACTGTGTCCAGCTGGACACAGCCCATGCTGGGGGAGCAGATAGCGGAGGTCACTGAAACAGAACAGAGCTGGGGACTACCCAGCACATTCCATACACTAGTGACAGCCTGACAGAAAGGGGACCTTCAAGCAAAGATGTGAAGATGGCAAGCAAGGAATCCTGTGGGGATTTGGTGGAAGGGTGTTCCAGGCAGTGGGAACAGCACATGCAAACACCCTGGGAATAGGTGTCTGACAGGTCCATGTTGAAAACACCCAGCAACAGGACTTGTGACTGAGCAATAGGGAGTGATGGCCATTTTGAAGAGGTGACATTTAAACTGCTTGCAGGGATAAGAGTATTCCAGGCCAAAGGAACAGCCACTGTGAAGCTCTAAGATGAGATGTGGGCTGAGTGTTCGAGCTATAACAGGGATCATGGTGTGAGGGCAAGTGCAATGGATGCTGGTGGGGTTTTTGAGGCAGCAGACATGGTGCTCCAGATCAAAGACCCTGCCTGTTCTTCCAGGAGGATTTCCTTCAAGGGCATGCCCACTGAGGAACAGGTGCGGGAGACCAGCTTGGGCCTGCTGACTGGCTACCTGGGATCCATCGTAGATGCCATTGTGAACTCCACAGGGCGCTGCCCACTTGCCTTGCGCCTGACCTTCAAGCAGCTGCAGCGGTGTGTGGAGGAGCACTTCCCTGGGGCTGAGCATCAGGTAAGTTGGGTTCTGTGGGGGCCAGTGAGGAGGATGGGGTGGGAAGGGGCAGCTTGTCCAGGCTCACATGGAGAGTGAGGGCAAAGGTGGCACCAGACCTGGGCTGCTCAGACTTGCACATTGTGTGTTCTGGAAGAGGTTGAGGATGATGGTGGGTGGAGGTGGTGATGATGACAATGATGGTAATGGTGGTGGTGATGGTGGATGATGATGGTGATAAGGAAGGCCCTTACCATGGGCCAGGTCTTGCTTTAAATGAGTCATATCTTTATTGTCTTATCCAGTGTTATTCCCATATAACAGAGAGAGAAGCTACTGCACAGAGAGGTTGTCACATGGCTAGGAGGGGCTGGTGCCCAGATAGCACAGACACAGGTGGGCTGGGTCCTGACTCTGTGTTCATAACCACCAGTCATAGAGCCTAGTACAGTGGGGACATGTTTCCTATCCTCACTGAGAGTGGAAGGGAGAGAGGAGCACAGGGCCAGGATGGGGTCCGAGTGGGTCCCAGCAGCCAGCATGGATAGAAAAGGTAGAAACCCAGGTGCTGTGGGTTCTTACTAGGTGTAGTACATGAACAGGGTGGGTTTGGGACTGTAGGGAATGGTGGGGACTGTGGCACAGTGCAGCCCCCATGCCCTGTCTACAGGGACCTTTCACACTGTTGCTGCCACACAGGCATGGGGTCTTAGTATTTCTACCACTGCAGAACTGTTTCTAAACTTAAAAAAGTATTTTTTTAAAATTTTATGTGTATGTATTTTGCCCTCATGTCTGTAAGCGTACCCGTGGAGGCCAGAAGAAGGCGTTGTATCCCCTGGCACTAGAGTTATTGATGGTTGTGGGCTGCCATGTGGGTGCTGGGAACCAAACCTGGGTCTTTTGCAAGAGCAGCCAGTGCTCTTAAGTGAGCCATCTCTCCAGCCCCCTTCCCCAGCTGCTGTTTTTTTTTTTTTTTTTTTTTTTTTTTTTTTTTTTTTTTTTTTTTTTTGGTTATAGCACTGGGGATAGAACTCAAAGTCTCATGCATGCTAGACAAGCACTCTACCACTGAACGACATCTCCAGCCCTCTCTTTACTTTTAAAATTATTTATTTAAACTTTATTTGATTATATTGTTTAAATTATTTGTTTAAACTTTGATTATCTTTTTGAGACAGAATCTCCCTGTAGCCCCAGCTGGCCTGGAACTTGCTACATAGACCAGCCTCAATCTGCCAGGTGTGGCTTTACTTTCTTATTTTGAGACAGGGCCTTGCTAAGTTTCCTGGGAGGGCCTTGAACTTGTAATCCTCCTAACTCAGCTTCTGGAGTAGCTCCGGTGACAGACCTTCACTACCAGGCCTGGCTGAGCTGGGTTTTTAAAGCTGCTTTCTGAATTTCATGCAGTTGCTCATGTTTGAGATGTTGGGGTTAATCTACCCAGACAAAGAAGCAAGAGCCACTTCAGTCTCCACACACTGGGGTAGTACTGGCCGTGGGCCACTGGCATGAGACCCCTGGTTTAATGATGAAGGTACTCATCACGTGGGGCTTGGTGGCCTAGGCCTGTAATTCTAGTTCCCTAGGTGGATCCCAAGTTCAGGGCCAGTCTGGGCAATACACCAAAGGTGTCTGTCCTTACTTACAGATGAAATCAGCAAGACTAACTCTTATGCAGCACTAAATACAGCCCTGGGGGCTGCTTGGTAGAAAGATCTAGAACCTGCTGAATGCTGGAGATGTCAACTCAATTCCTGAGTCTGAATTAAGAGCTCTGGATGCAAGTCACATCTTTGTTGCTTCTTGTTTACATGTGGGGAAACTGAGGTCCAGAGAACTTGAAGGTTGTCCCCAGACACCCCCTCCTCTTGATGAGGGCTGAACCTCCCATATCTGAGTGACATCATTGTGCCCCATTTTGCCTAGCTCTCACCTGGGCCACCTCAGAGGTGTTAAGTGGGACATGTCTGTTGTCGGGGGAGGCAGGGAGGGAAGCAGGGGCCAGCTCCTCACTCAGCTCAGCCCAGGAACCAATGTCAGTGTACCTGAGTGTCCCTAATAGGTAAGAACCAGGGGCTTTCTTAAGTCATGAGGGTGGTGAGCCCCAAGCAGCCCATCACAGATTTTATCCATGACATCATGATAATTTTATACATATCTACTTTCTCCCTCCTCCTCTTCTCCCTTCTCTTCTTCCTCCTCTTCCTCCTCCTCTTCCTCCTCCTCTTCCTCCTCCTCCTCTTCCTCCTCCTCTTCTCCTCCTCTTCCTCCTCTTCTCCATTCTCTTCCTCCTCCTCCTCCTCTTCCTCCTCTTCTCCCTCCTCTTCCTCCTCTTCTTCCTCTTCCTCCTCTTCTCCCTTCTCTTTCTCATCCTCTTCCTTCTCTTTCTTCTTCTTCTCTTTCTTCTTTTCCTTCTTGTGACAGGGTCTCAGGTCGCCCAGGCTCGTCTCTGACTCACTATGTAGCTGAGGATCGCTTTGAACTTCTGATCTTCCTGCCTCTACCTCCCAAGTTCTGGGATTACAGTATGTACCACCATACCCAGTTTATTCTAGGGATGAAACCCAGAGTCTCGTACATGCTAGGCAGACACTACCAACTGAGCCACATCCCCAGCCATCTTTTTGCTTTTTATTTTGAAGCTGTGTCTCATCATATTGCCAGGGTTGGCCTAGAACTCATTCTGTAGCCCAGGCAGGCCTTGAACTTGTGACCCTCTTGCCTCAGTCTCACATAGATAGGATAACAGGCCTGTGCCCCCAGCCCTGGCTCATGTGCACCTTGATGAGCTGATGTTGGGGGCTCAAAGACCTTAGGGACTTGCCTGGCAGGAGTTGGTGATTTGGGGACCATTGAGGGGCTGGCTCCTCCCTCTGGCAGTCCTGGGTACCAGCCCTTGCAGAGCCCACTGGCAAAGTTGACATGCCCAGAAAGCTGGCACACAGCATGGTGGGCATTGTCTTAGGTGTGACTGTCACCTTGGAATAAACACAGGCACACATTCTCAGGCTTGATATAGCCTGGCAAGCATGAGAATGTGGAGTGCTGGTGGGGAGCAGGCTGTGCCTGGGGTGCAGAAGTCCCTTTTCCTCTGCAGAGGAACCAGCAGAGCCCTGCAGCCTGGACTCTGTGTTCCAGGCTCTAGACGTCGGACGCTGGGCAGTGGGCACATAGCTGGAATCTGCTGCCTGGCACTCTGAGTCTCAGTTTCCTCACCTGGATAATGGGGAGTCTTTAGCCACTGCCCAGAGTCATTTTAGGATTAAACATGATTGAAGATTGAATGTGTTATGTGAGGAGTCCATGTAGATCATCTTGTCCCTCAGTGGTCACTCCCTGTAGCTGGCATTGAATTCAGGACAGTGTGGCGAAGACCAAGTTCAAATCTTGCCTCTGGCTCTGCCACTGGTTGCTGTGTAGCCTTGGGCAAGTGACCCTCACTCTCTTTGGGTCTCAGTTGCTGCCTCTGTGAAAGGGTGACTGTAACCCATCCTAGGGTGACTATTAAATAAAGGATTGAGTGAAAAACATCCAGCCTTGTTCTTGCAACATAGGCCATGGATCTGGGTTTGAATTCTGTCTCCTCTACTCTGCTGTGTGACCTTGCACAAGACACTTGGCCTCTCTGAGGTTTTGGTGACATCTCCCTTGGGCTGTGATTCCCAAGCACAGACAGCATGTCTGCTTAAATCCAGCTTTTCCAGATTAGTATTGTTTCCCTATTCTTCAGGTGGAGAAACTGAGGCCCAAAGAGGCAAACCCTCCTTCGTAGGCTGGGATAAGCCTTCGCCATCTCTATCTCACCCTTTTCCATGAGCACTAGTCCTGGTCTTTGCTGCCTAAGTTTCCTTGGCTGGGAAGAGGGCTTGGGGGTTCTAACTTACTGTTCTCCCATAGGATGTGAAATACCTGGCCACCAGTGGCTTCCTCTTCCTGCGGTTCTTCGCACCTGCCATCCTCACTCCGAAGCTGTTTGACCTTAGAGACCAGCATGCAGACCCCCAGACTAGCCGCTCGCTGCTGCTGCTAGCTAAGGTGCCAGGGGCCAGGGTGTCTCCAGTGGCTCCTTTTGGCTAGACAGAAACATGATAGGTGCAGAGCTGGAGGCCAGCCTGACAGAGGACCTAAAAGAGACCCCAAGAGACCCAGTTTCCTTGTGTTTGTGTTTGTTTTCTGAGACAGGGTCTTGCTATGCAACTGAGACCTGGAATTCACTATGTAGCCCAGTCTGCTCTAGAACTCAAGGCAATCCTCCTGCCGTAGCCTCTCAAGTGCTGAGATTATAAACATTTACTACTATGCCCAGCTTTCAGTTGCCTTTAAAATTAAATAAAAATTATTTAATGTGTATGAGTGTTTTACATGCATGTATATAAGTGCATCCTGTTGTGCAATGCCCATTGAGGTCAGAAGAGGGCATCAGATCCTCTGGAACTGGAGTTACTGAGGGATGTCAGCCACCATGTGAGTGCTGGGGACAGAACGTGGGTCCTCTGCCAGAGCTGCCAGTGCTCTTAACTGCTGAGCCATTTCTCCAGCCCCCAAATGCTTTTTTTTTTTTTGATCATGAAAACTCATCCCTTCCAGGAAAAATGTGAGAAGCAGGCTACAGACACGTATTCCTTAGTATGAGCCAAGCTATTATTGGTAAAGCATCCACGGCTCCTGGGTATACGTGGTAGAATTGGGCAGTCCTGGGTGGCTCTAGGTTTGGCTGAGAGCTGGGGTGTAGATTCCAAAGTGAAGAAGAACCAGTGACGCCCAAGGTGTATGCCTTCTTCCATCCATTGAACCTGGACCCACAGAGGCCTCCTTGCTCCTTTGCTGCAGGCCGTGCAGAGCATTGGAAACCTGGGCCAACAGCTGGGCCAGGGCAAGGAGATGTGGATGGTCCCGCTCCACCCATTCCTGCTGCAAAGCATCTCTCGAGTGAGGGACTTTCTGGATCAGCTGGTGGACGTGGATAGGGATGAAGGTGAGTTCCTATGGCCCTGCCACACCTGGCTTGTGATCCATGGGAGCACTCAGAGGCCCTGCCCTCAGTCTCCAGTTCCTTAGCATTAAGGCTGCAGATCTGCAGGTCAGTTAGTCAACTAACATTTTGTGTCAGGCAGCATCAGACTATTTCTGCCAGTGTGGCAGTGTGGTTAGTTCGTGGCATGGAGTGTTTGTTTTCCTCGCATCTATTAAGTGGCTGCTGTGTAATAGGTATCCTCAAAGGCCTGGGGCTGTGGCTCAGTGGAAGACTGTTTGCCTTGTATGCAGGTTTGCCCTAGGTTCAATGCCAATGCTGAAGGAAAAAAGCAGGGCACAGCGGTGCATACCTTTAATCTCAGCACTTGGGAGGCAGAGACAGGTGGATTGCTGTGAGCCTTGTCTACATAGTGAATTCAAGGGCAGCAGGTGCTACAGGGAGACCCTTTCCAAAAATAAAATAAATTAAGGTGGGGGGTGGTTGAGGAAGACACCGATCAACCTCTGGCCTCTAGGTGTACATACAGATGAGCACATGTATACAGACATACAAACACACACAAAGAAGGGAGCAAGGCAGGAGGAAATCTGGCCTCAAAGTTTCATCCTAGCAGGAGCACACATTGTAAGATAGAAGCAAATATTCTGTGGGTTCGGGAGTGACAAAAACAGGAAGGAATGCTGGGGGCAGATCTGGACTTTCAGGCAGGGTGGCCAGAATGACCCTCATTAGGTGACGCTGTAGAGGGCGCGACGAGGGTCCCAGGAAGGGGGGCTGCGGAACTTTTTCTGGAGATATGAAATTAACATCAGCTCCCAAACGGGGACGGAACCAACAGCCCAAAGAAAGTCTCATCCAATTTTACCAGACTCAGGTCTACAGCAGAATCGATGCGGCGTGGGCTCCGAGTGCTACCTAGTGTCAGAGCAGTGGAGAGGAACACAGGCTCAGACCAAACATGTTCATGTGCGCCCCATCTTGCCCTGGTAGGAGATTCTGTTGGTCCCAGCAGACAGTGACTGGGAAGGATGGTTAAAAGGTGGCTTGGTGCAAGATGAAGTTGCTCTGGCTAGGATTTGGAGAACTAGTCTCAATGGAAGAGTCTCTTGTTACAGGCAGGGAACAGTACGTGCAAAGTCCTGGGGGTTAGGAACAGCGATATAGTGAAGAAGAAAAGACAGTGAAGGAGAGGGGAGGCCAGGGAGGAGAGGCCAGGATCTGTGGGTAGGGTCTGGGCTTTGGTTGGGAGTAGTGTAGTGTCACGGGGAACTTCTGAAGCACAGGACTTGGAGTTGAGGCTGAGTCACAGTGGGGGACTCAGGTCATGGCATGGCCGGGTCCAGGTCACATAGGGGTCATCTGTGGCGATGTAGAGCCTTGGCTGTGGGCATCTTGATAGGTTTCTGGGGTGCTGAGCTGTCTGGCGCCCTGAGGGAGGTTGGCGAGGCTGTTTGGGACCTTCCTGCTTGGCGCCCTCTGCTGGCTGCCTGCCATCTCGCCTGCGGGTCTCGGTTGGAGAGGGATCTGGCTCTTTCCCTGCCCTGGGGAGCAGAGAGCCCAGCTGGTGCCAAGAGGCCCTGGGCATACTGGCAGAGGCCTCCACCGCCCTTCTTCATTTCACAGAGGCTGGTGGGCCAGCCCGGGCCCTGCTCCCGTCCTCCGAGATTGTTCGAGAAGGCTTCCTGTTTAAGCGCAAGGAAGAGTCCAGTGGCCTAGGCACCCGCTTCGCCTTCAAGAGACGCTACTTCCGGCTCAGTGGGGAGGACCTCTCCTACTCCAAGACCCCAGAGTGGCAGGTGGGGCTCTGACCACAACAAGGCGATGTCCTCTGAGGGAAACTGAGGTCCAAGGCCGCTGGTGGGACAGGGTCTCAAGGTGCCACAGCAAGGAAGTAATTAACTCCAAATTCTTGGCTGGTTCAGCACAGAGCTGGGACCACAAGGTCTGGACGAAATATCATAGATTGATGTGAGGTCCGTGTCCTCACCTGGCCGTGCCCATGGCACACACATCCGGGCCCTCACTCACTCACTCACTCACCCCTGCACAGGCATTCCTGAGTACCTCAGTGTGCCGTTGCTATCCTAGGCAGATGAGACTGCTGTTCTGTGTCCTAACCAGCACAGCCCTATGGGCACATCCAGAAATGAGAACCCTGCAAGCTGTTCCCACTTGCATTTCATTAGTGGACTGTCAATGGTGTCAGATGCTCTGGTTCCAATGCCTGGTCCACCCACTGATGGTGACCTTGGAAGGGTTATTTATCTTTGTGTCTCAGTTTCCTCATCTTCAAATTGGGGTGAATGACAGAAGGTGGTCGTTCAATGACAGAGGTGGACCAGCCTCAGAAGGTGGTCATGGTGCTTAAGAGAGTGAACTAATGGATGGAAAGTTCTGGGAGCCACAGCCAAGTACCACCTAGACAGCAGCTGTGGCAAGGATGATGCTCATGTTGGTGGTGATGGTGGTGATGGTGCTGGTAATGTCATGGTGGTGATGATGATGGTGGTGGTGACTGTGATAGTGGTGACGGTGATGGCGGTAATGATAGTGATGAAAGGAAACTTAGACCCAAAGATGTCGAGTCACTTAGAGGGTGATAGAGTAGATTGTGGGGAAAACATCAAAACTATTCATACTAGAATATGTGGCTTTGGGGACTCTGCCTGGTGCCATATCTAGAGGGATGGTGCCCTGGCTACCCACAGGTTCACTCGTCCATCCCAGTGTCCTGTATCCGTGCTGTGGAGCGTGTGGATGAGGGTGCCTTCCAGCTCCATCATGTCATGCAGGTGGTGACTCAGGATGGCACTGGGGCACCACATACCACCTACCTCCAGTGCAAGGTAAGACCCCATCACGATCAGGGGTGGAGGGCATTGCTCAGCCGTGCCCACCTTCTGACTGCCTCTACCCTTGCAGAATGTGAATGATCTCAACCAGTGGCTGTCAGCCCTGCGCAAAGCCAGTGCCCCCAACAAGGACAAGCTGGCTACCTGCCACTCTGGTGCCTTCCGCAGTGGGCGCTGGACCTGCTGCCTCCAGGCAGAACGCTCAGGTGAGGGGCTGGGGCATGCTGTAGGTGCCACTCTCCCCATCTGTTGATCGGCAGCACTCCACTTCCATCTAGGCAGCTGTGTAACTTTGGACAGGTGACTTAACTTCTCTGTGCCTGTCTCCTCAAGTGGGAAATGGGGTTGAGGACAGCTCTTACCTCCTTGGGTTCCATTAACTGATGTTGAGTTGATAGACACAAATCTCTTAGAATACGGTATGACACAGTGTTAATTATAGGTAGGTACTGTTTTCTAAGTGTCCACTAAGGAGAAGCTGCCTAGAGCACACAGTCTGACTTGTCAAGGAAGACTAGACAACAAGATGATGATGGTGATGATGACAGATTATGATGCTGGTGCTGGGGATGAATCCCTGGCCCTGAGCACTGACCTACACCCCACACTGGGTTACTGTCACCAAGCTGGGGCTTCAGAGATTTGGGGAATGCCCGAGACCCAGCCCCGGGGTGCGGATCAAGGAAGGCTTGTCTGGAGGTGTTGCTTCAATTGTCAAGAGTGGAGTGGAGATGGTGGGGGGTCGGGGGTGGGGAGGTAGGGCAGGGACAGGCAGAGCAAAGGGTGCAGATACTCTGCCCAAAAGCAACTTAAGGGAGGAAAGGGTTTATTTGGTTTATACTTCAGGTCACAGTTCATCACTGAGGGAAGTCAGGGCAGGAACTCAAGCAAGAGCTTGTAACAGAAACCATGGAGGAAGGCTTATGCTCAGCTAGCTTTCTTTTCTTTCTTTTTTTTGTCTTTTTGAGACAGGGTCTCCCTGTAGCCCCAGCTGTAGACCAGGCTGGCCTTGAACTCACAGGGATCCGCCTGCCTCTGCTGGGATTAAAGGCATGCACCACCATGCCCAGCATCAGCTAGCTTTCTTATACAGCCCAGGCCCACCTGCCTAAGAATGGCACTGCCCACAGTGGGCTGAGCCCTCCTACATTAATTAATCAAGACAATCCCCCACAGACAGGCCTACTGGCCAGTCTGAACTGAGCAGTCCCTTAGTTGGGACTTCCTTCACAGATGACTCTAGGCTGTGCCAAGTTGACGGTTAAAGCTACTGAGACGGGATCCATGGGGCTGGAGCAAAGTGAAGACAGGGAGGCCAGGGGGGCTCTGGGTGGAGCCCTGGCAGAGTGGAAGAAGGAGAGACTGGCAGTGAAATGGAGAAGCTGGAGGTGGAGCATGGGTGACAGCTGGGTTAGGGCTGGGGTGACACTAGAGTGGGGACAGACTACTGACTTGGGACAGGGATTTGCTGATGATGTTCTGTGCGCTCAGCTGCTGGCTGCAGCCGCACACATTCAGCCGTCACCCTGGGAGACTGGAGTGACCCATTGGATCCTGACGCTGAGGCCCAGATGGTATACCGCCAGCTGCTCCTGGGGCGAGACCAGCTCAGGTAGGTGCCGCCTGTCTCACCTCACATGGCCTCCCCATATTCATTTATTCTCTTTTTAATTTTAATTTTTAGGCAAGACTTAAGGTTGCCAAGGATGATCTTGAGCTCCTGATCCTCCTGCCTACACCTCCTCAGTGTTGGGGTGACAGGTGTGCACTAAATCTGATTCACGGAGTGCTGGGTTTTGAACCCAGGGCTTCATGAATGAATTCTAGGCAAGCACTCTACCAACTGAGCTGTATCTCCAGTCCATTCATTTTATTTATTTTTATTGTTTTGAATTGTGTGTGTCTGTGTGTCTGTGTATGGTGGCCAGAAAAGGGTGTTGGATCTCCCTGGGGCTGAGTTATAGGTGGTTGTAAGCTGCCTGATGTGGGTGCTGGGAACTGAACTCAGGTCCTCTGCAAGAGCAGTATGTGTGCTCTTAACCACTGAGTCATCTCTCCAGCCCCTTTATTTCATTGACAATGCTGGCAATGGAACTCAGGTCCTCATATATGCTAGGCAAGTGCTCCCACTGAACTATATAGCCCAGCCCTATTTATCCATTCTTTAGTATGTTAGCTAAGCTTCATGAGGCATGCAGGCCCCAGAGGGCCTGGGTTTCCAGCAGGTAAGGACTTGGGACAATCTGTAGTTGATCTGCATAAGGTAGAACATGGGAGCTTCCAGTCTAGGTACTGTTCATAGAACTCTTGGCTCTGGTACCTTGGGCACATCCTGTCCCCTACCTGGCCTGAAGAACACTGTTGTTTAGTGATGCGTTTCCTAACCCACTGTAGAGAAGGCTGTGCTGCTGACTTGCCTGGATTCAGACCTTGGGCTGACCAGTTAGAGGCTGTGTGATCCTCAGCTAGTTGCTTCACTTCTCTGTGCTGAAGTCTCATCTGGAAAAGGAATGATAGGGCACCAAGCTCATAGTGTTTTCCTAAGGCTCACAAGCCAGTCCGACCAAAGACTACCACGTAGCTTCCCTAGGCTGTTGACCTGGGGCAAGTTCATCATCTCTGGCTCAGTATGTACCTACTTCATATGTTAGCTATGCTGATTGAATAAGTTCATGCATGTATGGGGCTTGATAGAGTGTCTAGAACTCTAGAAATGTTTGTGATGATGATGATGGTAATAGTGATAGTGATGATGGAGATTATGAGAGGTGATGATGATGGTTATGCTGCTGGTAGTGAGGATGGTGATGTTGATTGTGATAGTAGTGAGGATAATGATGGTGATTATGATGATGGTGATGGCAATTATGGTCATAAACCCATGATTTCTCCTGTAAGTGGCAGAGGCTTAGGTAGCAAGCAGCACTGGACATCAGAAACCAGCTTTGTCTTTTTTTTTCCCTCTGCATATTTAGGTTGAAGTTTTTGGAGGAATCCAGCCCAGACACAGCTCTGGAGGTGGACACCCAGAAGGGCTCTGGTACCCTTGATGGTAAGGAAAAAGGAGTCCCATTCTTTTCCCTCATGCACATGTCCCCCAGCTTGCAGGCATAGCCCATGTCCTCCTGCTCACTCTGTTGTTTTCAATTTACCAGTGGGACCCCAGTGCTTATGAATTTGGGGGTGTTCCTGGCATGGGCAAAACTACACCAAGAATGCCACTGGGCTCCATGGTGACAGCCCTGTTAGGGCCAGCTGAATTCCTTTGGCCCATTGTCTTCCACTCAGGGGCCTGTGCAGAGGTCCTGGCCAGGCAGAGAGCAGCTGCTGCCCGTCTGCTTCAGGTGCTTGAAGACTTGGACCAAGCCCATGAGGACTTCCAGCAGCAGGGACAGGGGTGGGCGACCCCCTAGGGCGTGGAGGTGTGAGAGCCAGCTGCGGCCAAGGAGCCACAGGTCCTCAGCACACCCAGGTGTCTCCTCCAGGCTATCTTGGTCTTCAATGCTGTGGCTTGGAGCCTCCCAGACAAAACCTGGTCCTGTGTACCTGTGTCCAGCCAGGGCGTGGCAGCCTCTGGCAGGGTTCAGCCTTGCATGGACTGAACCTTACTTTGTTCTCTGAGTCTGGAGTCTTGGCTTAACCGGAAACCTCTTCCAATACCTATGGAACTGATCTGACCCTGAGCTGCTGGATACAGCCGTACCTGAAATGCCCCAGGTAGTCTGGTTGCTGGAGAGAAGGGCTAAGCAGGTTCAGCCAGAACTTCCTGTCTTCATATCTGCCAAGCCCTTGACCTCACAGATCCTCCTGACCCTCGACTGATGGCCCCATCCCCAGGCTTCTGGAAGTGGGTGCTCTCAGGAAGAGCAGGCTGGGAGCCTGGCGTGCCAGTTCATACCCTTGGAGCTGAACACAGGCTCTTTTCCCTCTTTGAGCTTCAGTTTACCCTGGATAAAATGAGCAGGGAATCTACTTAGCTGTGCAGTTTTGACACTGGGATATCCTGGAGGCCAGTGAGAGGGTTATCGGTTAGAAGTGCAGGTTCACAGGCCCCACCCAGTCACCAATTGGTCTAAGAGTTTGCAGGACTGGCATCAGGGTTCTGGAGCTCATGGGCCTGAACTGTGAGAAACTTAATATATTAGGGCTTAGGGTGCAACTTGAGAGTGATCCACGGAGGGTGATATTCTGGGGAATGTCTGGCTGGCAGCACTGGAAGAACCTGTGAAGATTCACATTGAGCTTTGTGTAAGGAAAGGTTGGACAGAAAGAACTGGTCTATCTCCCTGGCTGGGACGCAGTGCAAAAAAGCTGTGGCGCTATCCCGAAGTTGGCCAGCAGGGGTCGCCTGGAGCCGAAGCATCTCCCATGGCCAGGAGGCTCAGATAGAACAGAGCCTTTGCTGGCTCCTTCCTCCAGGGAGCGGACTCTGAGGCACCTGTGGGCTGATAGGGTATCTCAGAGCTCCTCACGTCCTCCTGGAGGCCCTGCATGAGTCTGATTTCTTGTCGCTGTTTGTGTGTGTGTCGGGGGAGGGTGTGCACTGCCTGATGCTTTTGTAGGGGAAGTGGCCACTGTCACCTCTGCATCCTTAGAGACCTGGGCAGGCTGCTTCTGCCTGCTGCCTTTCATGCTGCAGGACAGGAGCGTCCCATGGACCATCCACTGCTTCTTCGGCTGCCCTAGGCAGCACGTTGCCACCGTTCCCCAGTGTTCCTCAGAAGCAGTCACCCAGCCCCCTCTTGGTAGAAAGAGACCTGGTGAGGAGGAGAAAGAGCATTTATTTCTCCACCCACTGTGGGACTGGTAGGATTTTCAAAAGAGCAATCTCGGGCGTCCCTTTAAAGCTTGGCTGACTTCCATCCTGGCAGCCAATCCTCAGAGGCGGAGCTGGTGAGTTGCCTGGGCAACGGGCCCCTGGTTGGCCAGAGTTATCAGCCACCCACTGCCCACTTCTTAGCTGTTCCTTCTCCATCTTCAATGTGGGCCTCACTCAAAGTCCAGAGCGGTTTGGTGGAGAGCAGCAGAAGAGAGGGAAAAACACCACCTTTGTCTGCGGTAGACAGAGGTCTGGAAATGGGGAAAGAGTCGGGGGTCCCAAGGGGACAAAGAGACACAAGCACAAAATAAGACAGCCTGTCCCTAATGCCTGCGGAAGGCAACTTAGTAAACTTGGGGCTTCTACCACACGGGCTTACAGTCCCCAGTGGGTGGGTGGCAGAGCTTGGCACAGGGTTAGGAGTGAGGCACAGGGGCAGACTGTCCCCTAGGAGCCTTACAAACCCTCACCCCACAGTGCTTAACCCAAGTCCCAGGGAGAGGACAAGCCTATAGAGACATGGGTGGAGGTCACAGGGGGCGTCACAGGGGGCCTTTCTGTCTCTTCTCCCCCAGTTTTGGGGAAATCAGGCACGTGGGTGTACGTGCGTGCGTGTGTTCAAAAGGACACGTGTGTTGTGTGAAGGGCAGAGCTCCATCTTTTCTGCAGAGAGGTCACCATAGTAGGTGGTCCTCTCTCTGCGACCCTCTCAGGAAGCTACAGGTTGGAGCCGGCTGACCTGGTATGCTCCCATCATCCCAACAGCCACCAGCCAGATGCCCTCAGTGCTTCCAGCTCCTTCCGCCTGGCGGAGGGAGGCATGTGCCAGAGCAGGGGCAAAGCAAGGGAGAAAGTAGGCAGCTTGGGCCTCAGGCCTTGGCCACAGCCTCAGATACGCCCTGGGCAGTGAGCTCGGCCAGCACGTTGTCTAGATAGCTAGCGTCTGGGTAGCCGTGGCCTGTGAGGTTGGAACCGAATTCTGTCTTGTGGTGGATCTCATTCCACACCACGGTGTCCGACTCGCCTGTGGTATTGGATGTGCCGATGGTGAAGATGAGCCTGCGTTCCCAGGCGGTGATGAGCAACCTCAGCACCTGGGGGAGGGAGCAGAGGTCACAGGTGTCCCAGATTTACCATCCACTACATAAACTGCTTCCAAGTTCTGTTTCATCTGTATGGATGTGGCTCAGACCCCATTCTTTGTACTAAATAGTCATTTGTGAATCAGTTACCAAGATTAAAAAGTTTGGAGATTTCACATGAAAGTTGAAGATTCTAGCTTCTTTTGTAAAACAGTAAGTCAGACAACCTAAGTGTGAAGGTGAAGGGCTTGAAGGACTGCCTGGGTTCAAATCCCAGCTATACCACTTAGTTGCTGTGTTATTTGCCCTCTCTGAAGTTTCATTTATCTGGTGGGCTGGTGAATGAGATGAAGTGTGAAGCAGGTGGGTGTGGGTCCTGTTGTTTAGCATGATGGTTTGGGGAGGAATAGCATAGCAGGAACTGGGGACAGAGGAGGCATTAGGTCCAGGTGACAGAGGCTGGGACCTTGCCCTGGTTTGTCGCTGCACCCCAGTAGTCACCCACCTTCCGACCTTTCTCGTTGTTGGGCAGATAGCAGTGTCGAGGGAAGCCTCTGGCGGTGAACTTCTTGCCCGGGTTGGGGTGCTCAGGCCCCTGTGGGGAGGGCAGGGGGTTAGACCACAGACACATGGAAGCTTAGGAGAGGCTGGAGGAGTGGGGGCTGTGGCCAGCAGGGCTCACCTGGATACCCGTGGGGATGTCGTAGACGATGCGGATGGTCTGGGTGTCTGCGAAGCCAGGCAGCGAGTGTGGGATGAGGTGGAACTCCATCTTCCCCGGTGGCTGTGTGCCGGTCTTCTCCCCATAGATAGCCTTGCAGGTGGGGCACTGCAGGCTACCATCCTGGGAGGGTGGGCCAGAGGTGAGGCCCTTTGGGGTCCCATCCGGCCCCCACTGGCTGCCTACCCACTGCCTGGCAGTCCACCACTGCCCACCTACTTTCTAGCAGCCCACATACTGCCCACCCACTCACTGTCCACAGGCTTCCCAGAAGCCCACCTTGTGGCCCACCTTGTTGCCGTTAGAGTACATGGCCACGAGGCAGAGCAAGTGGTACATATGGCCACAGCGGCCTAGGCGGCCCACCAGCTCTGGCCGCACGCTCTTGTTCCTCAGCACACTCTCATAGCCAGATGCTGTGACCAGCCGTTCCATGCAGATGGTACAATCCTGGAGGGCCACAGAGACACTGAGGATGGGGAGGGCCACCAGAGGGCCATGGAGGAACACAGGATGGGGTGGCCATGGGTGAACACTCAGGACAGGAAGGGTTATGGGAGGACACTGAGGATGAGGAGATGGGACACCTTGGGGCTGACTTCCACTCCAGACACCCCTGAGCAGAGATTAAAGGCTTATCTACTCAAAGCAAAACATTTAATGAAACTGTCAATCACAAAGACTTGCAGATGTGACTGTTAAACTTAGGGTTCTGTTCCTCCAGGGCCTGCCCCCACCCTCAGAACGGGAGAGGAGTGGATGCTCCCCTAAAAGGGGAGAGGAGAGACTGCCCCCTAGGACAGAGGGGAGGAGAGGATGCCCCCGGGACAGGGAAGAGGAAAGGCTGGGCCCAGGAGGAACTGGCGTTGGGGGGCTGAGGCCTGAACCCCCAGGCAGGCCCCGCCCATGCGGCTCACCTCGTCTGGCGGGTTTTTCACTTTCTGCATGTACCTGCGAACCACATCCTCCGGGTTCTTACCTGCAGGGGGGCATGAGAGGGCTCGGCTCAGGAGGGGTGGGGGGTGGGGTCAAGAGCTGAGGAGCAGGTGTGGGTGGCAGCGTGCCAGGAGGGGTGACTGGCGCTGTGAAGGGTGGCTGAGGGCACGCGGAGGCAGGTGCATGCCAGTCCTAAGGGCACACTGGGGCTTGGGGTCCGGGGTCCCGCAGGACGTACTTTTCTTAAGGTGTTTCTTCTTGGTCTTGCGGCACACGCCGGGAACGCCGGGCACGGGCTTCACGTCGCTCTTGCTCACTGGCGGCGGGTGCAGGATAGGTTTGGGGGCGCGGGTCAGGCACACCGGCAGCCCCGCCGCGCAAAGCAGGATCCCGGTCATCCCTGGGAGCCAGGAGGAGGGTTGAGGGGCGGGGTCACGCTGAGCTACTCCCTCCCTCCCGCCATTAGAGAATGCCACAGAGGATGGAGGGCGGGGCACCTTTCCAGACTCCGCCTCAGGCCCCGCCCACTCAGCACCACCCCACGTTGAAGTCAAGTTAACTCAATGAGACTATAGGACCCGATCGCGAGACTGAGGGCGGGACTTCGTCTTCTGGGCCCCGCCCTCTTTCCTAGTCAGGGCGGGTCCTCACCTGCCAGTGCTGGGTGGACCGGGCCGGAACCATTGAGGTTCTTCACTGGGAGCGCTGGGACCCTGTGGGGATGAAAGAAGAGGCTGCGGTTGTAATCCTCCGACTTCCCATCTGAGGACCCTGGCTTGCCTTCGCCTAGGACTTCCCGAGAAACCCCATTTGCTCTGTTTGTGTATCTTCACCTCATCCTACTGAGAGCTCCTGTTAGTGGCAGGCCTGATCAGGCCGCTCTAATCAATGCGCCCAGATCTAGTGCTGATTTTTTTTTTCTTTCCTTTTCTGAGACATGGCCTATATAGCCCAGGATGTTCTTGATCTTGCTCTGTAACCAAGGACGACCTTGAACTTCTGATCCTCCCACCTACACCTCCCATATGCTGGGATGACAGGTGTGCCCCACCACACCCAGTTTTACCTGGTGCTGGGGACAGAACCTAGTACCCACTGAGCGACATCCCCAGCCTGACTCCTCTTCACCCCACAGCCAGTGCCTTCCCACCTCACAAAGAACATTTGGGCCACTGTTCCTCCATTTCTCTGGCCTGAAACCTAGCTTAGTAGTGACTTAGCATCTCTCAAGACTTTTCCATAGAGGATAGATTCCCATAAAATACACTGGAAAAGAATTCAGGAACAGGTAAGTTAGGCAATACTTCACTGTTTCCCTCTCTAAGATTCCTCAACATATCTGAGCACATAAAAAGTCTCTGATAAGTCCTGACATCCATACTAACACATGGTCCTCTCTTCAAATGAAGAGCCCCCAGAAAAAGTTATCCTTTGGCTTTTGGGGTTAATCACAGTTGCTTTCATTTCAGCTCCACTACTGGTCAGCTGGTGGCACACAGCACAACATATCACCTCTTGTAAACCAGTTTATCTGTAGACTGGGTATGATGTAGTACCTGCTTTTTGTTTGCTGGGAGGGGAATAATCTTAGCAGCTAAGAAAGTTCCCAAAAGCATTATATCCTCCTCATCCTCGTCCTCCTCCCCATCATCACTATTTTCATCATCATCATCACCATCACAATCATTATCATCACCACCACCATCATCACTATCATTACCAATATCATCACTGTCATCATCATCAGTGTCAGTGTCTCTTGGCCAAGAAATTCACTGCTTATCTCAGCCCTGATGTCATGTGTGACTTCTCTGTGTCTTGGAGAGGAAACCACAGTAGCATTACTGGGTCAACCTCAATTTCCTTTTCTGAAAAATGGGGGTGACAGCATGTCACACACAGGGATGCTGGGAAGACTGAGCCACAAAGTTTCTGAATTGTCATGGCATCAGCATTGGCTGTGTGCAGGTAAATGGGAATCTGTTGCTGGTGGCTTGGAGATGTCCCATGGCAGTGCAAAGGGACAGGGTGGTGATGACTGGAGAAGCTGCACAGCCCTTTGACTACTGGCTGAAGGCAGTGCGTGGCTACCACTGCTCCATTGCCTCCCCAGCAGGCACAGGTGGTGCTGGCGAGGTGACTGGAGAACTCTTAAAGTCAGTAGTGCCCTTGGCAGGTGGGACATCCTGGCGTGGGGCGGGACATCCTGGCATGGGGCAGAAACAAACTAGAAAGTGTGTGTGCATATTCCTGGGGAGCACACCATGTATAAATCCGTAAGTCTAGATGTGCACACAGGAAGACCACTCTACACTTGACCACAGATGGAACACATAGCAGACAAATGCACACACACACCAGGGAACCCCTTCTCTACACACAAATACAGACTTACATATACTTGAGGAGAACACCTCTCACTTCAGGGAATATACCCCCCCACACACAGAGACACACACACAAGCACACATTCACATACACAGATAACATACAGAGAACACCTCTCACTTCAGGGAATATATACCCCCCCCACAGAGACACACACACACACAAGCACACATTCACACACACAGATAACATACAGAACACCTCTCACACACCAGGGAATATATACCCCTCCACACACAGAGACACACACACAAGCACACATTCACATACACAGATAACATACAGAGAACACCTCTCACTTCAGGGAATATATACCCCCCCACACACAGAGACACACACACAAGCACACATTCACACACACGGATAACCAGGCCCCACCCCACGGTGTGGTGTTGCACGCCTGTCATCCCAGCACTCAGAAGGCTGAGGCAGGAGGATGGAAAGCTGGAGACCAGTCTGGGCTATACAGTGAGACTCCAAACCCAAACAAAAATGATGGGCTCAGGAACCCTCCTCTCCCCACAGAGACTCACACACACTGCAGGACACCACTGATCAGAAGCCAGCTCATGCAGATCATGGTCATCTTCCTAGGCTCACAGAATTCGGGAACATACCTAAGGACCCTTGGGGAGACATGGATACACTAGCTCACATGGGGATACAATCACATGATGACCCTCAATACACCCACACACTCTGGGACTGTGGGTGCACTCTCTACCGCACACCACACATACACACACACACACCATAGTGCAGGTGGCACACATGTACAGTAATACAAGCATATGGGCGTGGCATGCTCAGCCTGCTCACCAAACATGCTCACACCTGTGGTCCAGGCATGCTCACATCCCTGAGGGCCAGGCAGGACCTGAAATGGACATTAGGGCCCACCCTCTGGGGAGTAGCTGGGATGACCCAGAGTCCCCAAACATTGTTTCCAGGGGACTCAGTAGAAGTGGGGTGAAGGTTCTGGGCCTCAGTCTCCCCACCTGTAATAGGAAGTCTTGTAAAAAGGTTTAATGAGTTTCTCTTCCTGCACAGAGCAGGACTTGAAATGTGACCTGCCTCAGGCTCTGTCACCGTCTAGGACCTTCCTAAAGGGACAATGCTATTCTCATGTCTCTCTTCCTCAGCCTTTATGGAGTGGCAGAGAGGCAGTTGTGCTTTTCAGTCTTTCCTCCTTCCTACCCTGTCCTGCAAACACTGTGTATGGACAACCTGGTTGGGGTCCTGAACTGATTTCTACTGTCCCACTTTCCTTTCTTTCTGCTTCATGAGAAAAAAGCTTCTGTCTTTTTACTCAGGACAGTGAAAAACGGGTGGGAAGATAAGTATTTAGCATCAAAAGTATCCCACTTGAGCTTGGGAGCCTGGGGGGCCCCTTTTGATGTGGGATACACACCACTCTCTTGTTGCCTACCAGTGACAGACATTACTAATCCATTACAACACTCTCTGAAGCATGAAGAATCCATACCATATCTCCCCAGCTAGACTCCATCAATCAGGATAGCCAATTTGCTACCTTAGATAAACAGGATGCCCGGAGTCTGCTCTCACAATATCCCCATCTTTTTGAGCCTTTGTGCCAGGAACTGGGCAGGGAGAACCATAGGAAAGGGATACTTGAGATCAAGATCATGTTAAAATTTCCAGAAAACGTTTAAAAAAACCCTCGTTTGAAGCCAGGCGTGGTGGCACATGCCTTTAATCCCAGCACTCAGGAGGCAGAGGCAGGCAGATCTCTATGAGTTTAAGGCCAACCTGGTCTACATAGAGAGCTCCAAGCCAGCTGAGGCTAAAGGGAGACCCTGTCTCAAAAAGATCAAAAACAAAAAAACAAACAAAACAAAACAAAACAAAATCTCTGGCTTGTTTTTAAGAGCCCTGGGTTCAGTTTGGCTACTGGGTGGAGGGTTGTGGCAGGGTGTGACGGTGGAGCTGATCTATAACCTCATTCAGTGTTAGGGGGCGGTGGAGCTGATTGATGCACTCAGCACTGTTGTGGCAGGGGACCGTCCCGAGTGCTGCACACACCCTCTTGCTGTCTGCAGTCACCTGCGAGAACTTTGGGTAGCTGAGTTCCCATGCCTCTGAGCGTGGGAGCCTAGGGGGGGCCCTTTTGATGTGGGAACCACTGCTTCCCTTCCTCTGAGGCAGGAACATCTTTGTGGACAAGTACTGTGTGGCCTTGGGCCTCCAGAAGTGGGGGAGGGGGGTGGGATTGGCCTTCACTCTCACCCTGCCCTCCTGGAGCCCTGGGCCTGGAAGAGGTTCTGAGAACTCCTTGTCCTGGCCATTTGATCCAGCCCCTGCCTGCTCTCTGAACCCGACTTCCTGCATATGTACTCTTCTCCCACTCCTCACCACTGCCAGGCACAGTCCTACCCCAGGGCCTTTGCACCTGCTCACCACTTTCCCAGGCTACTCTTCTCTAAGTATCTTGCACCCTTCCTCCACAGAGGTCTTTGGTTCACTGTTACCTTATCAGTGAGCCCTTCCTTTAGCTGAGAGGGATGCCCACCTTAGCAGGGATGTGATGAAGCCCTCATGCATGGCCAGGCCCTGTGCCATCTGGCCTGACCCTGTCTCTGGCCTCATCTCCCAGCTTCTACCAACTCCTTCAGCCTCCCTGGGGGTTCCTCTAACATGTGGGCTCCGCCCCCTTCTGGCCTTTGTGCTTTCTGTGCCTTCTGCACTGGAGGCTTTTCCCTCCAGACCCAGAACCAGGTCTGTGCTGGATGACTGCAGTCAGACCGCTTCTGGCTTGCTGTTGTCAGTGCTGACATCTAGGATGATGTGGGCTCAGAGCTCACTGTCCTTGCCTGCCTCCTGATCCTGTGTGAGGGGAGCCAGGAAGCAGGTGTCCCAGAGAATGCAGCTTCCAGCTACATTCCTGCTGAGCGGTGTCTGCTCAGGAGTCCCAAAGAACAGCCCACACCAGCAACGCTACCCATGGCAAGAGTTCAGGAAAGCTTGTGCTGAGCTGTGTTCTCTCCCCAGGGCTCAGAGGCTGAGGCAGGAAGCTCCAGTTGAAGTGGGGGGACCAAAACCAAAATTCATCTCCCTCTCCAGCCTGAGAACAAAGGGGACCGTAGGGCTCTTTGTCCCACCAAGAGAAGGGCAGCCTGCTGGATACCTGTTCTGACTGGAAGACAAAACACAGAGGCAGAATACAGGGAGATTTTTCCACTCACTGTTCCTCATACTGTTCCTTGTCCATTTCCTTCTGGGTACCTTTGTTACACTCTCCCCCCACCAGCTACACATCTATCCTCTGGACACAAGTTCAAGGGGCTCCCTCTACTCATGGGAG